GGATTCTCAAGTGCTTCCAAAGCTCAGGTTGGTGGGAGTTGGGGGGAGGGTCCCCCTGGGGGTCTGGGCCCTCCTCCTACCCTTCTCTTCACCACACTCTCGCAGTCTCCTGGAGACAGCACACGTGGCAGGAATACCTGTGTGCATCATGGAGGGAGAGGGCAGGCTGGGGAGACCAGGGGACCACAGAGTCCGAAGGCCCGAGGGGCAGGATGAGGTCAGCACATTTCTGAGTTCGAGTTAATGGGAGGGTATGGGGATTTAGTTTTGGGGCTGGGCCTCTGAGGGCCTTCGTCTACCTGAAACTGAGAGGAGGGAAGGGGAATGAGTCTGGTAGCCCCTCTCCTCAACATTCCCCTGCCCCATGGGCCCCAGGGGAGCTGCAGCTGAACGCGGGCAGGGGATCTGGTGACTGGCCCCGTGCTCTCCACTGTTGTTTCTATAATCTGCAGGATGATCCCAACCAAGGCCTTTTGGCATGTTGATCTCTTAATGAGATAACTGGCACTGCGGCTCCCCCTCCCCTGTGACTCACGGAAGACTGACGGGCAGTGCTGAATTCAACCGAGCAGCCTGTGTATTCTCTGCCTGGCTCTGTCTACCTCCGTGGGCCTGGCCCTGCTCTCTGCCACACCTTGGTCATCTGTTCATGTCACAAACTTCTCCTGGTTGCCTACTATGTGTCAGGCCCTGTTCTGGGCACTGGGGCTGCAAGTGATGAATAAGCCAGACTACAATTCCTGCCCTTAGGGAACTTGGATTCTGCTGGAGGGAGAGAGACAGTGAGCAACAGATCAGAAAAATACAAAGTGTGTCAGGATGAGATGTGCTACAGAGGGAAACAGAGCAGCGACAGGGAGGGAGGGACAGAGCTGTGCACACCTGAAGGATGGCAGAGAGGTGAACAGACCCTAAGAACAGACCGAGGCAGGTGCAGAGGTCCTGGGTTTGGAGAGAGCCTGCCAGAATCAGGCAGCACGAGGACAGTGTGGCTATAGCAGAGGGAAGCGGGGAAGTCAGAGAGGGCCTATGGGCTATGGGAGGTGATTGCTGGATGCTCATCGGAGGAATGGAGGGGACCTAACAACTCCAGCTGCTGTGCTGGCATGGATGTGGGGTGCAGGGGCAGCCTGGAGGAGGCCATGGCAACAATCAATCCAAGCTAGAGGCGATGGGGACTAGGACAGGGAGTAGCCATGAGGCCAGAGACAAGTGGTCAGATTCTGCATAGGAGCCGGGGGCCACAGCATTGATTCGGGCTGTGTGGGGGGTGAGGAGAGGGGAGGAGTGGAAGGTGTCACAAAGATATTTGTCCTGAGTGACAGGAAGATGGGCAAGGCTTTGGGAAAAGCAGGCATCCAGGGGAAGGGGCAGGAGCTTGGTTTTGTACATGTGAAGTCCGGAGTGCCTGTGAGACTTGCTCACGGGAACCCTCACTAGGAACTGGAAATTCTAGTCTAGAATTCAAGAGAGAGATCTGGGCTAGAGATGTAAATGTGAGAGTGATCAGCATAAGACATGGCAGTCAAAGCTTTGAGGCTGCCTGAGGCCCTGAGGGAGCAGGGTAGGAAGAGAAGAGTCAGGCCAAGGCTCCAGGATCAGGAAGGCTGCAGAGAAGCCCGGGCGGGTGGTGGCCTGGACACCAAGGGAGGAAGGTGGCTTGGGAAGGGCGGGAAGGAAAGGAACAGTTGTGTCCAATACTACAGGGAGTCCAGCAAGATGCGGACTGAGACTGGGTTCCTGGATTCAGCCACACGGAGGTCCCTGTGACCTGGTGAGATGTGTTTAAGAGGATCAAGAGAACGGCCGGGCGCCGTGGATCGCGTCTATAATCCCAGCACTTTGGGAGGCCGAGACAGGATCATCTGCGGTCAGGAGTTCAAGACCAGCCTGGCCAACATGGCAAGACCCCATCTCTACTAAAAACACAAAAAATTTGACTGAGTGTGGTAGCATGTGCCTGTAGTCCCTGCTACTCAGGAAGCTGAGGCAGGAGAATTGCTTGAACCCAGGAAGGAGAGGTTGCAGTGAGTGGAGATCATGCCACTGCACTCCAACCTGAGTGACAGAGCGAGACCTTGTCTCAAAAAAAAAAAAAAAAAAAAAAGAGAGAGAGAATGGGAGGAGAATTATGAGGAGAGTAGGGAAGAAGGAGAGAGGGAGGAAAGCTACTGGAGACAGTGAGTGTTGGTTCTCTTACAAGGAGCTTCCCTGTATATGGGGAGCAAGGAATGGGGCAGGAGTGTGAAGGGGGATGTGAGTCAAGAGTGTTTTGTGGGTTTTTTTCAGATGGGAGAAATTGCAGCATGTTCCTATGCTAATGGGACTACTCCATAGAGAGGGCAATACTGATGAGAGAGAGAGAGAGAGAGAGAGAGAGAGAGAGAGAGAGAGAGAGAGAGAGAGAGAAAAAGTCTTGGAGGGACCTTTTCAGCCTCTCCCCAACTCCAGGCCAATAGAACCACAGAAGGTGTCCTCTTTGAAGGGAACCAAGGGGCACTGGAAATGGCACCAGGCTGGGCACAGGACGCCTAGGTCCTGGTCCTCAATCTGCCTGTTTCTGGCCATAAGACTCTGTGTCAGCCCCTTCACACTTAGGGCTTCAGATGTGGAAAGCAAGTCTTACAGCATCAAGGCTGCGTGCCCCCGGCCCCTGGCTGGACTGCGGTGGAGATTCAGTGAGGTAACGTGTCAAAGTGCTTTGTAAAATGTAAAGTGTGGAACAGAGGGTGGAGACTATTGTTATTATCCTAATAACACCAGGGCTTATCAAACAGATTTAAGGGATTACTGTTCGCTCAGCCCTACTTGCATGCATGGCGTTCTCAGGTAGTTCACATACTCACTGGAACCTGATCCATGGGAAGCCAAGTAGACTCTCTGGCTGGACTCCATGGGTGCTCACTGCCTCCATCATCACCAGCCTGTCTGCCCTGGCTTGACTTCTCTTCTGTTCCCTGCAAATGCCACCCTCTAGGGCCTCCAGGCGCTGTTGCCCAGGCTAGCTCTCCCTATGTGGCCATCTTCTTTCTCTCCGAGTCCAATTCCCCACCCCATCCTTTGAAACCTTTCTTTAGGAAGTATTGCCTGCAGGGAAGGGCACTGGTGTGGAGCCACGACAAGTTAGTCCAGCCTCCCAGCGTGCCCAGGATTTAGGGGCTCCGCAAGAAGTGGGGCTTTCGGTGCTGAAACTGGGGAAGTCCTAGGTGGCCTGCGCTAAGCAGACACCTTAGTCTTGCTCAAGGCCATATTTAGCCAATATCTTGCCAGGAAACTATGGACAAATCATTCCGTTTCTCTGGAATTCAGTTTTCTCATCTGTAAGAAGAAAGCTGAGCATTTCACTAGATCCCAGCCCTCCAGTTCCAAGCCTGGGGGTCTATCCATTCTACAATATTGATTGCGTGCTACTCTGCGCCACAGACTGCGCTCTCCCAGCTGACCGGGTATCTGGGCAGCTGCCCTGCACGTCACATACAGTAGGTGCTCTATAAAGACCATGGAAAGGATGCATGAATGAACCTGACACACCCCACTCAGGCTTGATCCCTATCTAAGCCCCCCAAAACCTCTGCTCACAGCTCTGACCCCACCCTTTCCCCCATTTCAGCTCCCTCAGCCTGTTGCCCACAAGCCTCTGAAAACTGGACTAAGCTGCAACTCTGGCCACTGGAATTGAGCTGAACATTCCAGCGAGGGAGGGGAGAGTCTGGTCACTGCTTCCAACATTTATTGACAACATTTATTGTCAATAAATGTTGACTTTGAATGCCTTTCCAAGAGGATGTCACCAACACAAGCTTGCCTTCCTGGGTGGGTCCTGAAACAGGATCACATTCGGGTTCATGGAGCCCACCTGAGCAGGCCTGTGTTGGGCAGCTCCAGGCAGGTGTCTGTTCCTGGTCATTTCTTTCTTCTTCCTTTTCTGTCTTTCTTTCTTTTTCTTTTTTCTTTGATGGAGTATCGCTCTGTCTCCCAGGCTGGAGCCCAGTGGTGCGATCTTGGCTCACTGCAACCTCCATCTCCCAGGTTCAAGCAATTCTCTTGCCTCAGCCTCCTGAGTAGCTGGGACTACAGTCACGTGCCACCATGCCTGGCTAATTTTTTGTATTTGTAGTAGAGACAGGGTTTTACCGTGTTAGCCAGGATGGTCTCGACTTGCTGACCTCGTGATCTGCCCACCTCGGCTTCCCAAGGTGCTGGGATTACAGGCGTGAGCCATCGTGCCTGGCCTCGTCCCTGATCATTACTTGTCTCCTGGGCACCTGCTTCCAGCCATGCCCCACTTAGCCTTAGACACCAAGTGGGACTCACACCAGACTGTCCAGGTTCTCAGTTTGGCCCTACCACTTCCTAGGATGCTATGTGACCTTGGGCATATTATTTGATATCTCTGAGCTTCAGTTTTCCCATCTTAATGTATTAATTGTAGAATCTAACTTATAGACCTATAATGAAGATTAAATGCACATGGAGAGCTGGCTGGGGGGAAGCAAGTGTTCAATAAATATTAGCTGTTGCTGTTATTCTAACCATAATCATCATCATCAACATTCTCAATTTCATGAGAACAGCAAAGAATGAGCTTAATCTAAGAGTGTCTCTCTCAGAGTACTTGGAATCTCTCCAGCTCAAAGAAGCCTTTCCCAATTCCCCCCTAGGAGGGTAACTACAAACTTGGTGCACATGGCCAGGACGCCCCCATGCCCCCGCCCCTGCAAGCAGCACTGACCCTCCCCTGGAGGAAGGGACTCTCCCCAGCTCTGCTTCTGTCTACAGCTTCCATCCTGCTGTTACAACCTTCCTTCCCTCCTGCAGGGGTCAGCTGGTCTGTCCTGGAGACCAGGTAGAATTCCCCGAACAAACGCAGCACTGAGCCTAGCTCCACCCGCAATGCTCCTGAGGATTCAGGGAGAAGGACTGTGGGGAAGACGGGAGGAGAAGGGGACTGGGGTCGGGATGCTGGGAAGGTGGCTGCCAAGGAGCCAGGCCACACTCACCAATGTAAACACACCCGCTCCCAGCGATGCGTAGACTGCATGGAGCCAGGGCACCTGCGGCAGAGGAAAAATGGGCTTAGGGATGGTAAGAAAGGGCAGCAGTCAGAGGGGCGCAGAGGAGGGTTCAGTCTGGAGAATGGAGGACATGGGATAGCCCTGCCCAGCGCTCCCTAAGGAGACCCAGGACTGACAGGGGCCCCTGATTCTCTGTGTGCCAGAGTGGGTGAAGGGAGCCCTGGAATAAGAGCGATGCTGGTGGCCGGGCGCGGTGGCTCACTCCTGTAATCCTAGCACTTTGGGAGGCCGAGGTGGGTGGATCACCTGAGGTCAGGAGTTCAAGACCAGCCTGGCCATCATGGTGAAACCCCATCTTTATTTTTAAAAATTGGTAAAAATTAAAAAAAAGATCGATGCTGGTGGGACTGACGGGATAACTCCCCCGCCCCCATGCACCCCCCACCTCAACCATCCTTTTTCCCACAGCACACAGCCCTGGGCTCAGGGCAGATAAAGATGACTCTTGGTGGGCCCAGTTCCCGCCCTAGCCTGGGACTGCTTGAGGCTGCTCCTGCCTCCCAGTGTGTGGGCATCCTTGTCCCAAATAGGGTCTGTCTGTCCTATGTCAGGGCACCCCTGGCCTCTGCCTTGGGGGCAAGAAACTCAGGTATAAAAGGACAAAGACTTGACCTCAGGGGTATTTGTGGGGGGCATCTAGAGTCTCTGCCAGCTGTGCATGGTGGACTCGCCTGCACAGGCTGGAATAGCACCCCCAGCCCTCTGCCCCCCAGTCTCCCTCCAGGTCTGGGGCAGCCAGCTCTGGAGGAAACTGCAGGCGGGGCCTTCCTCCAGAAGACTCGGAAACAAAAGCATCCCATCAAGCAGACCTGGTCAATAAAGGGTTCTTTGAAGTTCTGTGGCCCCTTCCTGTAGCCCTCCTCCCCATCCTAGATACACAGAGGGCCCCCAGGCCAGCTCCGGCCCTCCCTTCGTCAACAGGATCCTGGAAGAGCCAAGGAAATGCCAGCACCGATCCTGATGTCCTGGACGGGACGCCAAGTGCCCGGAGGCTGGGGCTGGGCAGGATGGAGGTTGGGGGGAGAGTGAGGACTACTGCTCCCAGCTCTGCCAGAAAAGGGCGGTGGGGGATCAGGTACCATGTGTGGGTGAGGGGGATAAGCACTGGGCTCCCAGCAGTCCAACAGCTCATCTCTTGGGTTCCCAGGACTCAGAACTCAAGGGCTTCCTGTGATGCCCCCAATCTGCCCCCTCTCCACATGCAGGGACCTGGGAGCCTGCAGAGTCTCAGTTGGATTCCCCAGGGCAGGCTGGATGCTTCTAAAAGAGCAGAGATTTGGCCACCAGCAGGTGGATGCTCTATGGATGAGGGTATGCTCTGAGCCCCACTGCCCCACCTCCGCCTGCATGGCCAGCTAGATTCTGCCTCTTTGGACTTGGCTGATTCCCCAGGAGCTCCCAGAAGACCCTTCCTCAAGGCCCCTCTGGGGCTAGTGGGCCTCATGGAGCCCCAGTGCTCCCTTCCCTGCCCAGGGTTTAAATGCCCCACACCCTACCCTCGGCCTCACCTCCACCCCACAGAGGAGGATGGGAAAAGTGAAGCCGGATGTGGCTTGTGGAGCCAGACCTGCCAAGAAAAGCCTCCTTGTTTGCTTACACTGCCAGCATGCCCGGGGCAGGTGCTGGGGCGGGGGGGGGGGAAATGGGGGGGCAAAGGATGGCAGGCTGTGGGGACTTGGCTCCTGGCCTTCTCTGGGGAGAGGGGAGGGAACGGCACCTTGGGCCAGTGGGGCCCCTCCCTCCCCATGGGGCCTGCCGCTGGACCCAGAGACTCACATATTGGAAGGGTAGGAGGATGGCCAGGATGAGTCCGCTGAAGAAAAGAGTCATGAGCAGCACGAAGAGTACACCCTGGCAGGAGGTGAAGTCGAACTGCGGGGACAGGAAGGGGTCAGCTGCCCGAGCGGCCTGGCCTTCCTGGGGCCCCAGCTACAGGCTGAGCCCACACAGCAGGCCACAGTCTTGTACTCACCCCAAGAACCTGGCATTCCTTACCCTTCTCCCCCTCAACAGATGTCCTCCCCAGACCCAACTCACTCCGCTTTACTTCTCTCCCCAGCCCTGGGTCCGAGCTCTGAGCCCCTCACCCCACCTGCCTTCCCCCGCTCAGCCTCAGGCCCGGGTCCCTGCCTGCAGGCCCCAGAGCTGACCTTGGTCTGGAAGCTGAAGACGGTGACTGAGAGGCAGACGAGGGCCGTGATGCCCAGGCACAGCAGCACAGAGGTGGTGTTGTAGTAGCTGAGGACCATCAGGCCAAGGGGTCAGCTCCTGGGCAGGGCATCTGGTCTCCCCCACCCTCCTAGCAGCCCCCCACCTTATGTGAGGACCTGGTCTCGGGACCCCTGGCCCCAACCTGGTGCCCTTTCCCCAGATCCCTCCGTCTGCCTCTCCAGCCTTTCTTCTGGGCCCTGCCTCTCCCAAAAGGTTTAGACTCAAAATCAAGTTAGAAGGATCTTGACGAGGTGGGAGTAGGAGTGGGGAGGGGTTTGTGCTGGGCCTGGAGGTGGTTTACAAGTAACTTCGGGTCCTGAGTCTGGGGGTTTGCAAGCTACAGTTTGGGAGGGGGTACCTTGCTCCCAACACCCCATCCACCAGGCCAGGTCTTGGGGTCACTGTTCAGCTGAATGCTCAAGGAGAGGACCCTAGGCCAAAGCCTCCAGCCCCATCCACATGCTCCCAGGAAGGACAGTGTGTGGGGGCAGCTCCCCCCAGGTGTGGCCGATGCTTGGCTCCAAGCCTGGCCTACGGTCCTCCTCTCCTTCCACCTGCTCCCTTTACCTGGACAGCATCCCAGTGAGGTAGGCCATGGACAGGGTCTGAAAGGAGAAGCAGGGTGAAGGAATGCTCCAAACTCAGACTGTGGGGTCCAGGCACCCTTAAGATCCAGCCCAAGTCTCCACCCCTTGCAGGTACCCCTCAACTCTTTGTCTCTGTCACCCCCACGCACACTGACTTTCAGGAGTCAGGCCTGGCTAAGGAGTGTCCCCACTGCCAGCTTCAGGGTCTGTACCAGCTTTCCCTTCCTTTCTTCTGCAGCCACACTCCCCGCTTCTAAGACCCCCCACTCTTCTTCATTACCATATCTCTAGGATGCCTCAAATAACCCACTTTAAGAAGTCACAATGAAAAAAGACAGTGGATAGGGAGCAGGGCCAGATTAAGCCCATTTGGAAAGAGAAGGTGGACTGTGTTTGTGGAAGAAGTGGGGTGAAAACACCCCTGTCTCCGCAGAGATCTCACATTGGACATCCCCAGCCCAGACTTCCTGGTCCTCAATCCACCCTGCTTCCCTCCTTTCTCCATCCACATTCAGCATCTGTCCTCAGCACACCCCAGATCACTTACAAAGACGGTCAAGAGAATCAGGTTCCAGGGGAAATGCCTCCTGCAAGGCAAGCCACAGAGTTCAGGGGAGAGTGTCGGGGAGCAGTGGGTGCAGGCTGTGTCACCGCTGCAGGGAGGGTCTCTGACCAACCCCCTCTACACTCCTCAGAGCCTCTTCCTCCAGCCACATCCCCATGTGCCCCCTCTCCATCCCCCTTCTCCCTACCTCAGAGGCACCAAGTAAAGGAGGGAGGGGCTGGCCTGCTCGACAGAGGCCCAGAGAGGGATGGGGCCCTCTCAGGGATGCCCACCTCACTGTTGACAGGCAGTGCTGGGGCCAGAACTTTCATGACCCTGTTCATATTCCCACAAGTTCCTCCTCAAGCCATTATCATACCTGGGTCCAGAACAGCAAGCCAGGGTCAGGTAGGTTGCAAAGAACACAGCACTGTGAGAGATGGACAGATGGGTGAGTCAGCCAGCCCCTCCTGTGGCCCTCCCCCCAGACCCCTTGCTCATGCCACTCTCTGCCACTCCCTGCCCACAGAGCAGCCTGACAGGAAGGGACAGGGTCATCCTAGAACCTGGCAGTGGGCAGGGTGGCAATCCAGTTCCAAAAGAGAGGAGGATGGGACAAGCCTGCTTCTAAAAACAAGGAATCTTGGGTCACATGAGACAGCTATTCCTGACCACCCAATCCAAAATGGCGTCCCCAGACACTATCTTCTTATTTTATTTTATTTTTTAAGAAGGGTTTCACCATGTTGGCCAGGCTCCAAAGTGCTGGGATTACAGGTGTGAGCCACTGTGCCCAGCCTATCTTGTTATTTTGAAAGCCCATATAGGCTGGGTGCAGTGGCTCACGCTTGTAATCCTGGAGGCCAAGGCAGGTGGATCACCTGAGTTCGGGAGTTTGAGACCCGCCTGACCAACATGGAGAAACCCCATCTCTACTAAAAAAAAAAAAAATTAGCTGGGCATGGTGGTACACGCCTGCCTCTGGAGGCTGAGGCAGAATTGCTTGAATCCAGGAGGCAGAGGTTTCGGTGAGCTGAGATCCCACCATTGCACTCCAGCCTGGACAACAAGAGAAAAACTCCACTCAAAAAAAAAAAAAAAAAGCCCATGTACAGCATTTTCCATGCGCCAGGCAGTTTTAAGTGTTTTATGAATATCAACAAATGTAATCCTCATATCTTTACAGCTGAGACAGGGGGAGGTCAGGCAGCTTGTCCCAGGCCATCTAGCTACCACGCTGCAGAAGCAGGATGAGAACCCAGGCATTCTGGCTCCAGAGTCCCTGCTAATAGCCACAGCACGCACTGCCTCATTCAGGCCCTTCTCAGGCCTCATCATTACCTGGAGTGATCTTATTAGTTACCTTATTGTTTATCTAGCCTACTAGATTGTAAACTCAGCAAGGTTAGGGTCCTTGTCTGTCCTGCCAGCCCCTGGCACAAGCAGGAAGTGGCACCTGTTGGATGAAGTTTTGGATCAGGTGGCCATGTCTAGTGGGAGGCTGGCAGGTACAATCTCTGCACCTGGGAGCAATTCAGAGCTAGAGATGGAGGACTGAGAATTTTCTGAGTAGTGGAGGCAGACACCAATCCAGGAGGTGGGAGATGATGGCTGGAGACCCAAGGGTGGGGCTTGCCCATGCCTACCTAGGTTAGCGATGCCATCAATGCATAGTTTCCAACCCCCAATGGGCCTTCAACATAGCATTGCCGTGCTTTCCCCATCTCCTTTCTCGGTTCTCTCACCCATCACCCACAATTTCAAGCTTCCTCCTCCATCCACAAACCTCTCAGGCCCCTCATTCTTCCTGCACAGTCTGCCTTAGGTGCACCAGAAAGACTGGAGATGAGGTGGGCTCCCTTGGCTTCCTGCCCGCCACCTGCAGGTATCATGTGGTGCTACCTGCCCTCCTGTGCCTCCTCCTGTCCCAGGCCAATCCTCCCACCCTCTTAGTTGCCTGGAGATCTCCATTACTTAAACCTTTCCACTGGTACCTCTTCTCCCACACAAGCCTCCTCTGCTGTTTTCCATCTTCAACCAACACCTTCCCTGCTCTAGCTACTGCCACTCTATCCTCTCTTGCAGCCAGGCTTCTTGAAAAAGTGGTCTCTATTCACGGTGCCCCTCCTCCATCTTCCCAAACCAACACACACAGCCTCAGCACTACTCAGTGGGAGCTGGCTTTGCCACATCACTGGGCCCTTATTGAGTGCAGTGGATACTTCTCAGTCCTTATCTTGCCTGGCTTCTCAGCAACTGGTCACTATCATTGTTTCCCTGGTTCCACATGACTCCTGGGTCCCTCCTACCTCCCTCACCACTCCTTGGTCCCTCCAGGGTCTCTCTCAGTGTGCCTGGTTCCCTCGATGTAGGGTTCTCTCCAGCTGTTGCCCCATGCTCTCCCTAGGTGGGCTCACTCATTTCTATGACTTGCTCACCCATATTTCTGATCTATATTTTCCTTCTCAACCGTGGACTCAAGTTTCTAACTGCCTACTGGGCAGACATGACTATTCAGACACAAGTAATGCTCAAGAGGTTAGAAGGGAGCTCCCTGTCTACCCTGCTCCATCTCTTGCTTTCCCACCAGCAGAGGACGTCATGTACCCTCCAAGTCACCCAATCAGAGACCTCAGCATCATCCTTAACTCTCACCCTGCTATGCCCAATTAATCACCTGGACTTGCTGATCTTCCCACCTAGGCAGTTCTCAAAGCTGCCTTCTTCCTTCCATCCCCACTACCACCCTCTCTCTCTGGCTCGGACCCTTGCAGGAGCCCACCTACCTTCTGCCCTCCACGCTAAAGGCAAATCCAATAATGTGACTTCCCTGTATAAAATTCCCAAAGACCTGGTAATGCCCTGTCTGAGCAGACAATGCATTCCTACCTACCCCTCCAGCCCTTCTCTCACCGCACTCCGCCCCTCCACTCCATCCCTCTCATCACAACCTGCTTTGCTCCCTGGAAACATGCCTGCCACACTCTGCTCCTGCTGGAAGGGACTGACTGGCAAGGACGCCTGAGGCCTGGGTTAGAGAGGGGCAACCCCTGTGCACCACAGGCATGCCTCAACCAAAGCCTGAGCCCCTGCACCCTTCAGGCCAGCTCCTCTCACTTCCCACCCAGGTATAGCATCTGGGGGCCAGCCTGCGACTTATTAATTTTCTATTCCCACCATCTGACCCAGAGCTGGTAGGTGCTCTTCAAATATTTCTGGATGAAATGCAAAAAAAGTGGCTCACGCCTGTAATCCCACCACTTTGTGGGGCCGAGGCGGGTGGATTACAAGGTCAGGAGTTCAAGACCAGCTTGTCCAATATGGTGAAACCCTGTCTCTACTAAGAATACAAAAGTTATCTGGAGGTGGTGGTATGCACCTGTAATCCCAGGTACTTGGGAGGCTGAGGCAGGAGAACCGCTTGAACCTGGGAGGCAGAGGTTGCAGTGAGCCGAAATCATACCACTGCATTTCAGCTTGGGTGATAGAGCGAGACTCCGTCTCAAAAATAACAAAAAACAAACCCAAAAAACAAAACAAGAGATGCAATTGAGACAAGCATATTGGATTCGGTGAGTAGGACCCCTTCAGGTTAACCCTTTCCTGGTCTTCAGTGGTTTTCAAATAATGAGAAACTGTTGTCACAGTGACCGGAGGGCTCTTCTGGTAGCTGGTGCCAGAGGCTGCTGAACATCCTTCTCCGTGAGGGACGGCAGAGCCATCCTGCCCAACTTAGGAAACACTCAGCACCTGCTCTCTCTCAGTCTCTCTTAATCTAATAATAATACCCATGTCCATGTGGGTGTGGGTCCTATCTCCCCAGCCAGACTGGAAGCTTCCTGAGGACAAGAGCCCAGCCTCCTTTTCTCTCTGGTTCATAGCTCTTCAACTTTCAAGACAAGGGGTCCAGAGGACAGGCAGAAGGGCCAAAGACCCTGGGATTGTGGTCCAGCTTGGGAGCCTGACACCCCGCATACACATCCCAGCTCTGCCGCTACTGTTGCTTGACCTTGACCAAGACCCAGTTTCCACCTTTGCAAAACAGAAATACTGGTACCTCACTGGGCTATTGGAAGGACTGATGAGACAACACAGTTCAAGCACTTTTCGTAGGCCTGGCACAGCGGAAGGACTCCCCAGGGGAGTTATGATAATTAGAAGTTGGCTGATGGACAGCTTCCTGGAAAGGCTCTGACCCACCTCCACCGGTTTCTGGTCTCACACTTTTCCTCCTCTGCCTGGGTTTCCCCTGGCCCACTAGCCTTCTACCACTGTAGGCAGGCACAGTAGCTCAGTGGGCGCAATCAGACAACAAAGTGAGAACCAATGGAGGGAGGCGTCTAGGGCCGTGAAAAAGCTGGGCTGTGAGTTGAGGAGGGGGAGGCTGGCAGCCCAGGGGCCAGGCAATGAGTCACTTAAGAAGTGAGAGAGAGAACCACTGATTTATGCATCAGAGCAGCAGCCCCAGGGCCTGGGCAGGAACCATAGCCTGTTTACAGAATGTCAGGACAGGGAAGTGAGGCTCAGGTGCAGGCCAGGATCCAAACCCACTGCCTTTCCCCAGCTTGTCCTGCTCTAAGACAAAGGAGGCAGCAGAGCACAGAGGGTAAGTTCCACCATCAGAAAGGCCTGAGTTTCTTCCCTGGTTACACTGCTTTGAGCCTCACTTTCCTCATCTGTAAAATGAGTATAATAGTAGCGTCTGCCTGGTTGGGCTATTGAAAGATCAAATGAAAAATACATGTAAAGTGTTTAGCACGGTGCCCTCCTTACAGAAAAAGAGCTGCCTGATTCTCAATTCTCCTATTGTTATTCTAAAAGGAAGAGACCAGGATGGAGTCCTTGGGGAGCACATGATGTGTTGCAGGAGGTGAGACCCACCAGGACTCAGACACAAGGCTGACTCAGGGGTAGGAGAGAGCTGAGGGATGGGGAGGGGACAGGGCAGGGCAGGACCCCAGGCAGGTTTTTTGGAGGAAAAGGGCAGCATCCCATTGGTGAAACCCCCAAGCACCTTTCACGCTTTGGGGCACCCAATGGAAAGTGCCCAGTCCACACCCACCTCCCACTTCTGGCAGCACCCACCCTGGTAGAAGCCAGAGAGAGCATCTCTGTTTTCTGCCCAGTGATGCTGAAGAAGAGGGACTCCAAATCTCACCATTCAGAGGTCAGATTCTCACACTCCACCCTCCCAATACCCCCATCCCACCCAGTGGAATGGACTCTGTCCCGCTGAGCCTGCTCATTCCTGGGCTGTCTCCCTGCTACCACCTGCTCGGGGCAGACTCCCACAGACTCTCCCCCAGAAGGCTCAGAGAGGGGCATAAGAATCCATTCCCAAGTTCTCAGGGGCCTAAGGCTACCAGGCAGTGCTGACGCACCAGAAGCCATGCCAACTTGCCACATGGGCTGGCCCAGGTGGTAGTCTCTGGGGCCTCATTAGCTCTACTGTACAGCACCTCCCAGTTCCCCAAGACGCATCTCCCTGCCTGCTTGCAGACAGGCCCTCCTCCGTCCTCTGCCCTAGGAATGACTCTGGAACCCCCAGAGGCCAGGTGAAGATCCTTACCATCAGCCTCTGGTGGGCCCTGTGTGAACTCTAGGCCCATCTCTGAGGCTGCTCTGGGCTCAGCATGGTCCAGGCGGCACTGGGCTGAGCCCATCTCCCCACCAGAGCCCCAGGAACAGACTTGGGACAGACACAGTGTGCAAGCTCCTTGGCCAGGCAGTCAGAACCTCAGCTCCACAAGTTGAGGTTCTCCACTGCTCTCCTGGATGCCTCGGAATTCCCCTGCATGGAGCCTTCCAGCCCTCTGCCAGAGAAGTCCCCAGTTTACCCAGTGTACCACATGCATTCTCACCCCACACTTTTGCTTAAGCCACTTCTCTCCTGGGAACGCTGTCTCCAGTCTTCATGGCCCATCCTTTGAGGGGCACCCCTGTTGTGGGCTGTGTGTGCTGGTATATGGGCTCACTCCTTCCCTCCTCCCCTCTCTGAACGCTGCATCTGTTCATGCTGCCTTGGGCCACCCAATAACTTCCCCTGCAGAGGCCTCTGCTCCTGCAGCCCCGGTACAGGGCTGGGCTTACAGTGAGTGCAAGAGCAGTTCTGCTCTGAGCCCCAGGATGGTTCTGGCCTGGAGATATCCAGGATGACCCCTTAATTTCCCAGAAAGGAGGATCAGAATCACCTACACCTTCGAACCTCCTCTCCCAAGTTACCAGCCAGGTTCCTCAAAGAATATAGGACAAGCAGGAGCCAAGTGGCTCAAGGGCTGCAGGGAGCCTGCCAAGTGGATGGATTAAGAACACAAGCCTTAACCTGAATCTGGGTCTGAATCTCAGTTCTGCCACTGACTAGCTGTGTGACTCCGGGCAAATTCCTCATTTCTCTGAACTTTAATTTTCTAAAGTAATTATACCCAGTAGATGTGAGGACCAAATGCAATACTGTACGTCAAGCACACAAAACAATGCCCAGACCTTATTAAGCACTCTTTAAGTGGTAGCTATTATGATTAATATTTCATAAGCATTAATAACAACATTAATAGGAGTAGCAACATTATCATTAGTGTAGGCCAAATTGTTCCAGTCCCACTTCCTGTTAGGACCGAGGTCTGGGTCTCTCCAGCTACAACCCCAGCCCAACCCTTCCCAATTTGTGCAGGCAGCAGAACCTACCCCCATCGCCTCTGTGCTCCATCAGATTTAACACCCCAGAAAGGTCCTCTGGTCATGCTCTGAAGCCAGCAGAATGGGGCAGTGTTGGAGGGGATCTGTGACAATAGTCCCTATGGGGCTGGGAGAAGCTATGGGCTCAGATTTGGCCAAGAAAGACACAGAGGTCGGGTGTGGTGGCTCACGCCTGTAATCCCAGCACTTTGGGAGGCCGAGGTGGCTAGATCACAAGGTCAGGTGGCCATGGCCAGGCCTGAGATATAGACCATTCTGACCAACATGGCAAAACCCTGTCTCTACTGAAAATGCAAAAATTAGCCAGGCGTGGTGGCGGGTGCCTGCAGTCCCAGCTACTAGGGAGTTTGAGGCAGGAGAACTGCTTGAACCTGGGAGGCGGAGGTTGCAGTGAGCTGAGATCGTGCCACTGCACTCCAGGCTGGCAACAGAGGGAGACACCATCTCAAAAAAAAAAAGACAGAGATTCCCTCTTCTGGCCACTAAGCCTTCTCTGAAAGGGGACTGGGGTATACTCACTAGGATGCCCAGTACCAGCCTGGGTTGGCCTGGACATAGTCCTTGACAGGGTCACTGCAGAGAAGAGAGAGAGGGAGAGAGATTCAGAATGTACCCTAGGTCTCCATTTCTGGTTCAACATCTGCATCTGTCCCACAGAGGAAGCCGAAGGAAAGAATGCAGGCCCTGGAGGCTCGCGGAGTTCCAGCCCACAGTCCTCAGCTGCGATCGGCAGGTGTCTGGGAGCACAGCTAGTGGATTGAAGAGGAAGGACTGTCGCACAGACACCCAGAAGGCACCCTGGGTCCTCCCCACACTGGACAGAGGACCCCTCGCCCACGGCACTCTCTAAGGCTCTTTCCCAGCAGAAGGAGGCCCACAACCCCACAGGTAGCTCTCCAGGCCACATTCCAGCAGGAATCTGATCATGGGTTCCCTGGCCCCAGGCCTGGCCATGGACACCCCTGGAAGGTGCTGATCTATGCTGCCAACTCACCAGAAGGTAAAGAGAGCCACGACAGCCAAGGTCACCAGCAGCTGGATCAGCAGGATGGTGTAGACCTGGGAGTGGGAGGGGATTCTACTCAGCTTGGGGAGTTCTGTTAGAGACCTGTCAGCCCCCCAGCGACTCAGTCACCTCTCCAGGTCCCCATCCTGTGCACTCCATCCTCCTTTTAGGGAGTCACTGGAGTGAACCCAGGGCAAGGTGAAAGGAAAGCAATGATGCCGCCAAGCCCAGCGCACTCCCCAGCATTGGGAGAAAAGAGGGGACAGTGAGTGCATTTAGGTATAGCAGGGGGCACCGGAGTGACATCTAAGGAAGCAATTCCTAAGGGAGCAAATCCCAGCTATCAGCTGGGATCACAAGAGAAGAGGGGAGGGATGGCTTCTGCAGGCAGAGGGTTGGGCCAGGGTCTGATCAAGGGGCTCCCCCACTGAGCCTCCCAGTCCCAGAGGGCGAGGGAGGGGCATTACTTTTCTGATGAAGACTCGACGAACTTTCTGGTCGTCCCAGCTGAAAGTGGTGAAGAGCTCATGCTCTCCAGTGGGGAAACCGTTGTCGTAGCTGGAGCTGCTGCCTGTGTGGCATGTGGAGGGCATGAGGGTTCCCCCTACATAGAATTACTGTCCCCAGCAGACACCAACTCAAAGCTGCCTTTTTGTCAACCTGGCTCTCTGGACCCTGAATTCTTTCTCTCCAGCCCCATTATCAAATACCCAGCCCCAGCCCAGCCCAGCCCAGCCCCAACCCCCAAATCTCTCTCCCTGGTCACTTCTCACTTTTCTTGCTCTGGGTCCTGGGAAGAAACTGTCACCCCCTACCTCTCTCTCCATCCCAGCTGGGGTTTCTTGGGAACCAGGCTCTGCCATGTGAATGTGACCCTCCCATCTTCTCCCCACACAACCCTCCTCCTTGGATATTTTGGCTCCCTTGCCATCAAGGATCACAGGGGGACAACCACTCTCTCTGGACCACCCAGCAGCAAAGATCCTGACCCTGGCTCATTCATTTCTCTTTTTTTTTTTTTGAGACAGGGTCTCACTCCTGTCACCCAGGCTAGAGTACAGTGGCATGATCACAGCTCATACTGCAGCCTGTACTTCCGTGGGCTCAGGCAAACCTCTCATCTCAGCCTCCCAAGTACCTGGGATTACAGGTGCACACCACCATGCCTGGCTAATTTTTTTTTGTATTTTTAGTAGGGATGGGGTTTCATCATGATGCCCAGGCTGGTCTCTAACTCCTGGGCTCAAGCAATTCACCTGCCATGGCCTCCCAAAGTGCTGGGATTACAGGTGTGAGCCACCATGCCCGGCCCTGACCCTGGCTTACACTGAGGCCCTTAGGTTGGGAGTTGGGGACTGGTTGGCTGTGGTCGGCCTGCTGGGGCTCCAGCTGGAAACCAGGGTTGCAGGGGGGCAGGGGCTGGAGGGGAAATAAAGCCAAGACAAGGGCAAGAAGTAGGGGTGGGGATGACGGTTCCAGGCGTAGTCCAGAACCCAGGCTTTCAGAAGAGCTTGGACACCATAGTCAAACAGAGCTGGGGCAGATTCCTCCCCTAGAACTGACTAGATGTGTGACCCTGATAAAGTTACTGGCCTTCCCTGAGCCTCTTCTGATACTGGTTAGTGATACCTACCTCCTGGGGACCAAATGAGATAAAAATGGAAGCCTATGCTCTGTGAAATAAAAGCCTACAAAAAAAAAGAAAGAAAAGAAAAAAGAAATAAAAGCCTATGTTCTCTGGTGGGAACTACCCTGCCTCACCCTCTCCCTGTGCCCCTCATCAGGGCCATTTCCAGTCCTCCAGTATGTTCATTCTGTCCCCTCCACTGTCCCCATGATCTCCTTTGCCCCTAGCAATAGCCTCTGTCTTTCAAGGCTGACCATGGCATTGCCTTGCTTTGAGCTCTTCAATGGCTCCCCAATGCCCTTCACTCAAGTTCAAGTTTCTTTTTTCTTTTTTAAAGACAGGGTTTCACCATGTTGGTCAGGTTGGTCTTGAATTCCCGACCTCAGGTGATCCGCCCGCCTTGGCCTCCAAAGTGCTTGGATTATAGGGGTGAGCCACTGCGCCCGGCAAGTTCAAGTTTCTTAACAAAGCGTCCACAGCCTCCCTGAGCAGCGCCCTGCAGCCCTCTATACATTCCTCCCCCCAACCTTTTTCTCAACCTGAGTATATTTTTTCGACCATGTGTTCTCTTGCCTCTGGGCCCCTGCACATTCTGTTTCTTCAGCATTAAACACTCATTTTCTTGCCTCTTCGCCAGGCTAACTCATGCCCATCCTTTGGGACTCAGTGTGGATACCCTTCTTCCAGGAGGCCTTTCCTGACTGTCAGGTGGGATAGGTAAGGTGCCCAAACATCTGTCACTGATTTGCATCACTGTGTGGTAGTTGTTCAATTACTTGTCTATACAATCAGCTCTCTGAGGACAGAGCTCCCAGCAGATCTTGCAAATCAACGCATCCTCCAAAACAAACTCAGATGCGGACCCTGTGCCTGGCACACACTTAGTAAATGTCTGTCACAGCTGCCTTCCTGCCTCCACAGTTCCTTGGAAAACATTCCTTAAAGCATCAGTCCTAGCAACCAGGATATGGGAAGGGAAGAATGGGAGAGAGCTAGACCCACTGCAAAGCTGAGGCCTGGAGACCCTCACCCTCTTGTTCTTTCACTTCTCCCTTGTGTCCTGTCTATATCCCCTGCCAAAACCCAAGTGGCCAGGCCACGGAGGGAAAAAGAAAAGGAAAGTGGGTGTGTAGGGCAGAAAGGAGGACCCCCACAAACACCAGACCTTCATTGACCCTCCAGTATGTCACTGGGTGAGTCTTCAGGGGTCTGCGCCCAGGGGGTTTGTAGTGGGAGGTGTGGACCATGGCGGCTACTCCCTATGAGCAGAGGCTCTGTCGGGGGTATTGTCTCTGGGATCCCTTCTAGAATTCTGCTGGGGGTAGGGGTGATAAAGTGGGGGAGGGGATGGGCTGCTGAGGGAGGCTGAAGGAGCCGAGGAGGGTATCCTCAGAGCTTTTGGGAAGCTGTATGTTCCTGGCCCTGAGGTAAAGCTCCCACAGGCTGCTCGACCCAACAGAGCAGCTCCCACCCACTGGGATTCTCGGTCTTCAGGAAGCTGGCATCCACCTGGGTGAGTGTGCCTGTGAATTAAGCCTGGTGTGGGGGACACTGAGGCTGGCACCCACACTCCCTTCCTGCATCATGCCCTCCTGCCCCAGCACAGACTCAAGGAAGGGAACAGAGATGAGGACAGTGATCAGTGAGGTGGGTCCCCAGACCCATATCCCCCAGCAGCCCTGGGGCCTCCATGGGGACCTGTCCCCACTGAGGTTTCAGATGAGCTAATTCACAAACACTGCACCCACACTCACAGGGGCCAGGCCCAGTGAGGGCTGTGGCCAGTGGCTGCCTCATATACCCCTCCTTCGATGCATCTATTTCTTCTAGGAGGGTCTTTCCTGACTAGCCCTTAGCTTTTCTCCCTCATCTGTCCCCTCCATTTGCTCTAGCATGGTGACTTGAAAAAAAATGCTCTCTGCTGGGTGCGGTGGCTCACGCCTGTAATCCCAGCATTTTGGAAGGCCGAGGTGGGTGGATCACGAGGTCAGGAGTTTGAGACCAGCCTGGCCGAGATGGTGAAATCTCTACTAAAAACTACAAAAATTAGCTAGGCACAGTGGCAGGTGCCTGTAGTCCCAGTTACTCGGGAGGCTGGGGCAGGAGAATCGCTTGAACCCGGGTGGCAGAGATTGCAGTGAGCCAAGATCGCACCACTGTACTACAGCCTGGGCAACAGAGTGAGACTCCATCTCAAAAAAAAAAAAAGAAAGAAAGAAAGAAAAAGGAAAAAAAATGCCCTCTTCTCCATCGAGAGCAACCTGATGCAGACATTGTATCTCTCTCCCTTTTCATGGAGTCATCTCTGACCTACCCTCAGAACAGTCCTCCAAATCCTAAGCCTCTAACAACACAGCTTCATACAACAACCACACAGTGCACCTCTTTCTGGGCAACTTCCTCCCACTCAGGTTTTCCCTCTGGGCCCACACCTCTACCCCCACCATGATGCTCCAGGTTCCAGGAGCTGAGAGACTTACTGGGGTCCACATAGGCCCAGCTTGGGTGGAGAGGTACTGCCGAGGGGGCTGGGGGGAAAGCCCCTGCCTTCATCCCCTCCCCAGAGGTGGCCTCCTCATAGGAGGGTGGGGCTGAGGGCACTGCTGGAGCCTCCTTCTTCTCGCCATGTGCCTGCTGCTGCCCCTCAGTCCCGGGGGCCTTGTTAGCCACGGAGAGCTGTGGAGTATAGGCAGAGAGAGAGAGAGAGAGAGAGAGAGAGAGACAGACAGACAGTCACCAGGGAAAGGGAGCCTTCCAACTCCTCCTCACCAACTAACTCCTCAATTCCTGGAACTTCCAAGGGTCCTTCCTTACCTGCACTCGGAAGGCAAGAGTGCAGACAAGAATGTCTCTTTGTTATAGACAAGAGAACGGAGCTCCAGAGGGGTCAGGGCTAGCCAGGACACACAGTGGAGCTGGAGTAGGAATGGAGGAAAGAGAAAATTCTTAGGAGTGCCCACCATTGGTTGTCACTGTCGCTGTCCCTGGGGCAGGGCCTCTGTGGTTCCAGAAAAGGGCCTGAAACATAGTAGACTGTCACAAATAAAAGGTCTTGTCATTTAACCTTCCTGATACTTGCTAGTTGTATTCCGACCCATGCTTTAAAATGAAGAGAATGAGGATCAGAGAGGAAGAGTGACTCATCCAAGGTCACAGAGCTGCATGTGCCTAGGCACAATCCACTGGGGTTGGCCTCCTCCTGTTGGGCTGGAATGATGCAACGAGAATGGAGATGGGAGAGAGAAAGGCAACAGAAAGGGAGGAGGAGAGGGAGAAAACAGAAAAGAGGAAAGGCCTTCAAGGTGGAGGAAGGGCAAGAGGACCCTGGCTACAGGTCCTTCTGGCCTCATCCTGTAGGAATCTCAGCCTCTCCCCTAAACCAGAACACACTCACTGTGGAAGGGGCCTCAGCTGAATCTCTTCCTCCACTGAACAGATGAGAAAACTGAGGCTCAAAGGGAAATGTGCAATGGCAGGTTGGAAACTCGAGTCCATTTATACTCAGATGTGCGCCCGCCCCCGACCCGTGGAGATGTTTAGCTTTGGTGAGAGAAGGAGGGCCCGAGCTGGGAGGGCCGGAATGAGGCAGCCAGAGAAGGAAAGATTGGGGTGGAGGTGGGGGGATGTGAAAATTAAAACAGCCACAAAGGTCCAGCTCCCGGAAAATGGGATTTAGGTCTGGTTCCCAGAAGACTGTTAGAACTGAAGGGCCACTGAGGAAGAATGCAGACTTCCTCCTTTGCAAGGGGCACCTGGCTGAGGCGGCCGGGAGAGGGGCACGCACCAGACTTCTGGTTTCATCCAGACCCAAGGACCGCTGAACTAGAGAGGGTCTCTTCCATCCCCCAGCAAGCCTGTGAGTGAGCTGAGGACAAGGGGCAGAGGAGGCAGAGGTCCCCCTCATGCCAGGAAGGGAGCAGCGCCATGAAGTGCCTGGTAGAGGTGGGGTGGGGGTGGAAGGAGAGACTCAGCGAAGAGGGGCTGGAAACTGAACACTCCCCAGGCCTCCCATTCCCTCCCACTCTCCAGCCCCCCTCATCACCCAGATCTGAAGGATCATGCCCACCAAAATCTAGTTCAGCCCCTAGCCTGCCACTCAGCCCCCCCAGAGCTTCCTGGACCCTAATGCCCAGTCCCCCCACATATAGGGCACTCCCAAGTGAGGTCTGACCATGGCAGGAGGTGGTATCACCCAATGACATCACTTGAGGCCCAAAGAGCTTGCACACAGGAGAGGAGGGTCTGAGGGTCCAGGGAAGGATGCCATTGGTTCTGAAGCTCCTCTCAGAGAAGTAGGGGGAGTGTAGGGGAGGTCCTTCCAGTGTTTTCTCTGCCCAATCCTTAGCAACCCCAAACAGAGGGCCAGAGGACCCTCCCCCTTAGCCCCAGGCCCTAGTGGTTGTATAATTCCACAGGCTATTAACGTTACATAAGCCTACTAGGCCAGCCAAGTCTCTGCCCCAGCCCCTCCCCTACAATTCAGGCCTAAAACTGGAGAAGAAGAGATGCTTCTCCTGGACCCATCCATGCCTGGCCAGAACCAAAACAACAATTAGAGCATCCGGATGCAGTGCTGCCATAGCAAGCCCCAAGCACAGGGATGGAGCCAAGACACCCAGATGTGGACTAATGGCAGGGAGTGGGGTGGGGTTGTTTCTGCGGAGGGTGGGAGAGATGAGCTTATATAAAGTGGTTGGTTTGGGATTGGAGGGTTGGGCCAGGAGGATTGCCCGATAGGCACTACCCCTCAGGGCTCACCCTGGCACACACATACCCACGCACACACATACAGTCATACCGGATGCCCAGGCTGACTCCTCACCGGGCGCCTGGGCATCTGTGAGGAGCCTTGTGATGCCAAAGCATGGGGTGGGAGGGAGACAGGGGAGGAGAGGCGCGCCTGCGGGAGGGCGGGAAGAGGGCCCAGTCCATTCCTTGACACGGGCCTTTCAGTCCTCTGACTTCAGCAAGGACCACGTAGGACCTTCGAACTAGGGCTAGGGGAGGATGCTTTTGTGGTCCAGAGGAGACAGGGAGCTGGGAGCTGGAGGATGGAAGATGGTATAGGCGGGGAAGATGCCGGTACCTTTCCCTGGGTCATGGTGCCGTCTCTCGGGGAAGGGGTCCCTGAGGCCGGGGCGGCCGCTTGGGTAACCGCAGCCTGCCTGCGTCTCTTCCTTCCTCCGCGTGGGTTCTAGCAACATCCACTGCAGCCGGGCCAGGCGGGCCGGCGCGTACCATCGGCGCGGGGGGAGGAGAGGGCCGGGCCTGGGAAGATGCTGCGGAGGAGGCTGCGGATTCGGGAGTCCGGAGGGGGGGGGAGGTGGCCGCGCACCGCCCCCCTCCTGCCGCTCTCCCCCCGCCCCCCCACCTCCCCACTTTGCCCTCCCTCGGGATAAGAGAGCGTCGCGCTGCGGAGCAACCGCAGTGGATGGATCCGCGGGGGATGAAGGGGCGGGGGACGCGGGAACTCCGTGACACGGATCAGCTGACGGTGCCCTCGTGAAACCAGAGCCAGGCGTCAGGGCCTCCTCTCTCCACTGTCCCTCCAACGTCTCTGCACCTCTCTGCAGCTCCAGCTGCGCATCTCTCTTTTCCCCTCCGTCTTTGGATGCGGCCCTGATTTCTGTCTCCATCTCCACCTCCCCTCTCATTGTCTATTTCATCATCCATGGTAGAGGGAAAGGTCTGGAAGTGTTATCTGTTGCCCGCATCTAGGGGGCCTGCGCCCCTGTGGGCCTGGGGCAAGCCAGTAGCCACCTCTCCTTGATCCTTTTTCCTGCGAAATGCACACAGTAGGTCTCTCCCTGCCTTGTTTCACAGAGACATGGAGTGAGAGGACATCTCTTTTGTTTCTTTCAACCCTGCTGGGATGTTTAACGGGGTCTTTCTGGAGACACAGCTAGTTCTGTCTCAAAGCCTCTCCAACCCCTGCCAGAGCTCTCTTCCTGCCTCCAAGCTTAGCTTCCATCACTCTGTCCATCTTCCCCCGTTCCATTCCTCCCATGCCAGGGCTTGTTCTCCCTGCTTCCCCAGACGTGTTCCTGGGCCCCAGCCATCACCAGGCCCTGTTTTCTGTAGCTGCTGCAGTGTCACTATGGGGTTTGCAATCTCCAGAGCTGAGATCAAGTCCCAATTTAGTCACCCACTGGCTGCATGGCCTTGGCAAGGCCCTTAACCTCTCTGAGCTTCAGCATCTCCTGTGAAAAAGAGGCTTAGAACAGAGCTCTGTCCATCCTAGACTGACTGTCAGACACACAGCTTATGGCAGTAAAAGCATATTAAAGACCATGAAGTGCTGGAAGTATTCGAGGTATTATTAACTGAAAACCCTCCTACCAGAGTAAATGCCTTGGGCTGCCCCAGAGCGAGGACCCATAGACCTGCCTAAAAGAAGGATCTGAACCTGCTAGGATGGGACTTGGGGCAAGACTTGGGGCAGGTGGGGGTGGCCACTTACTTTTTGCTTCCCTCTTAGTGCCCGGGACCCTCCAAAAGACCTGGAGAAAGCAGGGCCCGGGGTGGGCAGATGAATTATCAAAGTTTTTTTTGAGATGGAGTCTTGCTCTGTCACCCAGGCTGGAGTGCAATGGTACAATCTTGGCTCACTGCAATCTCCATCTTTCAGGTTCAAGTGATTCTCCTGCCTTAGCCTCCTGAGTAGCTGGGCTTGCAGGCGTGCACCACCATGCCCGGCTGATTTTTGTATTTTTAGTAGAGGCGGGGTTCACCATATTGGCGAGGCTGGTCTCCAACTCCTGACCTCAAGTGATCTGCCCACCTCAGCCCCCTAAAGGGCTGGGATTACAGGCATCAGCCACCGTGCCCAGCCTAATTATCAAAGTCTTATCCTACCCCTTTTTGCTCTTTGTCCCTCACTCCATAATCACCAATTTTGCACAAACACACTTAAGCCTGGGCCTCTGTGTCCAGAGGCTCTCTTGACCCTGCAACCCTGAGCTCTTTTTCCAGCAAGCTGTGTCCTGGCCCCCAGCACTGCTGCTGAAGCTTTGCACAGCTGGCCCAGGTTGTGGCCTGCCCTCCTTCTCTGCATCTGCATCCTGGAAATGTTTTCCTTTTCCTGCTTGACAGCTTGAATGCCACCTCCTCCAGGAAGCCTCCTTGCCCATTAGTTGGGGTTAGATGCTCCTCTTCTGTAGTTCCCTAGCACCCTGATGTAGTGCCTGTCATATGGCGCTGTGAAGTTTCTTTGACTGGCTCTAAGCTCCTATAGCAGTTTTTGTGTGAGCTGGACTGAGTGCAGTGCCAGGTGTGTGGAATGCACTCCATCAGTTGCATCTATTAATATATTTCAGGTGTGGCATTATGCACAGCCTGACTTTCATCAGCCTCAGCACGTTCATGCTTGTGAATCCCTCCTGATCTTTCTCTCCCATTCACTCTGCAGTCCAGCCACACAGACCTCTTAGCTGTTCCTTGGACTGGGCTGAGCATGCTGAGGGCCTTTGCACGGGCTGTGTCTTGTTTGGAAATTCTACAGAGCACTGTGTGACTTCCTCCCTCACTAACTTCACTGCTCTGCTCAGACATCGCCTCACGGGTGGTCTTCCTGGTCTTATACAAAGGAGCAATGTCACCCACATACTCCCACCCACCACATTGGACAGTCCCTTTTTTCTGATTAAGCTTTACTTCTCCTTTGTCAGTCGTTACCTTTGACATTTTATTGTTGTTGTTTAGTTCTCTCTTTCTCTCTCCCACTAGAATGTGAGCTACAGAGGAGGAGGAGTTTTGGGGTGTTGTGTCATTGCCCTGTACCTGTGGGTTAAAATAGTGCCTGACATGGATGTAGTAGGTTGATAAATATTTGGCTAAGTATAGCATTATACAAAATCTTTATATTCCTGAGACATGCTGACATTGTTAGTGCTCTCGGGTTTCTCAGATGTTGGACTCTATTACCTTGACATTGCTTATATGTCCCCCACCTCATTTTTTTTTTTTTGAGACAGGGTTTCGCTCTGTTGCCCAGGCTGGAGTGCAGTGTTGTGACTATGGCTTATTGCAGTCTGAATTTCTGGGCTCAAGCATCATCCTGCCTCAACCTCCCAAGTAACTAGGGAGGTGTTATACATGTTCCCATGAGGTGGTCTTTTGACATTACTCAACAAAAAAGTTTTTAGAGACGTAGTTTCACTCTTGTTGCCCAGCTGGAGTGCAGTGGTGTGATCTCGGCTTGCAGCAACCTCTACCTCCCAGGTTCAAATGATTCTCCACCCTCAGCTTCCTGAGTAGCTGGGACTACAGGTGCCCACCACCAAACCCAGCTAACTTGTATTTTTGGTAGAGATGGGATTTCACCATGTTGGTCAGGCTGGTCTCGAACCCCTGTCCTCAGCCTATCTGCCTACCTTGGCCTCCCAAAGTGCTGGGATTACAGGCATGAGCCACCCCGCGTGGCTGACATTACTCAAATATTAAACATTCGTGTAACATTCCTCTGGCCTCTGGAGACAGGTGTGGTAGTCAAAAGCCCAGGCAACAGTGGTAGGCAGCTTTGCTCCAGAGCCCGGCTCCCTATTTAAAAGCTGTTTGGCTCTGGACAAGTGAGTTCCCATCTTAAAGCCTCAGTTTCCTCATTTGTAAAATGGGGGATCACGATAGTACTAACTTCATAGGATTGTCATGAGGATTAAATGATAATATATGCAGAGTGCCCAGCACGCAGTAAGCTCTTGGTGTTAGCTGTTAGTGTTAGCCTTAAGGGTTCCACAAATATTGTTTAATGAAATAATTAATTTCTTTTTTCTTTTTCTTTTCTTTTATTTTTTCCCAACTTCCTGTTGATTTGCAGAAATAATTAATTTCTACCACAGAAGGCAGCTCAGTCCCACAGTTACTCATTTGTTCATTCATTTGTCATGTCTGTTGTCTCTGTCCCTGTTGACACAATTGGTAGAAGCCATTTTCAAGAAGGATGAGGTCCTTTCAGATTCACCCCTGGGCAGGAGGGACAGGCAGTGCTGGGGTGGCTGAGGGCTGGGGGAGGGGGCCTTGGGAGAGTCAGAAACTGTAAGGGGCTTCCCAGGGTATAGCTGGTGAGGTTGTTGGGGTCACATCCTCAAATCTCCACAGCCACGATAGGCTTTATCTATTTGTACAAGGCAGGGAAGTAATGGGGAGTTTCAAGCTTTATTGTATTTTATTATTTATTTCTTATTTTTCTTAGATAGAATCTCACTCTATCGCTCAGACTGGAATGCAGTGGCATGATCATGGCTCACTGTGGCCTCGACCTTCCAGGCTCAAGCAATTCTCCCATTTCACCCTCTCAAGTAGCTAGGACTATAAGCATGCATACCATGCCTGGTTAATTTTATTTTTTGTAAAAACGGTGTCTCACTATGTTGCCCAGGCTGGTCTCGAACTCCTGGGCTCAAGCGATCCTCCCACCTTGCCCTCCCAAAGGCTGGGATTACAGGAGTGAGCCAATGTGCCTGGCCTCAAGGTTGTTTTCTTTTGTTTTTTATTTTTTAATCCTCCCACCCTCAAGGTTGTTTTTGAACAGGGAAATGACATGTTCAAAGTCATGCTTCAGAAAGACCAACCAGGCCTAACACGGTGGCTCATGCTGTAATCCCAGTACTTTGGGGAGCCAAGGAGGATGGATCACCTGAGGTTAGGAGTTTGAGACCAGCCTGACCAACATGATGAAACCCCATCCCTACTAAAAATACTAGCTGGACACAGTGGCACACGCCTGTCATCCCAGCTACCTGGGAGGCTGAGGCAGGAGAATTGCTTGAACCTGGGAGGCAGAGGTTGCAGTGAGCCAAGTTCATGCCATTGTACTCCAGGAGCCTGGGCAACAAGAGCAGAACTCCATCTCAAAAAAAAAAAAAGACAAATAAATAAAAGAAAGACCAACTTTCTGTAGTAATTTTTGTTAGTGTGTGTGTGTATATATACACACACACACACACACACACACACACACATTTTTTAGGCAGAGTCTCACTCTGTCACCTAGGCTGGAGTGCATTGGTGCGATCTCAGCTCACTGCAACCTCCATCTCCCAGGTTCAAGCAATTCTCCTACCTCAGCCTCCCAAGTAGTGGGGTTGGCGGTGGGGGGGGGGCAAAGGTGTGGATGGAGGTGATTTCTCATTTTACAGACATGGAAGCACAAGGCCAAAGAGGTTGAGTGACTATCACAGGGTTACATGACACGCTGGGGTCAAGGCCAGTAAGAAGAATGCATTTGGCCCCAGCTCAGGCACCATTACCTCTAGAGGGATTCAGTGACAACACTGAGGTTGGGAGTGGGAGGGTCTCAGACCTCCTAGGTGAGTAGAATCAGAGATATCCAGGCTCCTCTCCTCGGATCCTATCCAATAACACACACACACAGACCCAAACACCCAGCCTGCACCACTCTCTGCTTCCCCACTGAA